ATATATATATATATATATATGTATATATATATAATGCTAGTTATACAGTTGTTGGCTCAAGTTGTTCACCACCTAATACATTTTTATTTATTTTTGACTTCTAACAGAAATGTTTATGATCATATCATAAATTATATATATTCTGAAAGTAAATTCCTATAAAAGTTATTAGAAGTTAAGTTATAATATAAAACATTTAGTATTATGAAAATTCAAAAACAATTAACATAAAGGTGCAAATTTAAACTTGAGTGCAAAACACAAGTAATACTATTGTAATAAGGTAAATTTCATTTTGTGTGTGTGTATATTACTTTGTAAGATATCCTTTGTTTTTCACCACCATAGAATATGTTCATCACGATTCCAAGAAGCAATAACTGCCTCAATTAATTCATATCTTGTTTTTTAATAGTACTCATGAATACGACATTTCACACACATCCACAGATTATCTGTTGGAAAAGATATGAATCATGTTGATCAGTGGTTCCCAACTGCTAGTTCACAGGAAGGTTTCAGCCAGTCCACAAGGTCGATGAAAAAAAATTGGAAGCACCTGTTACTCTCAGTTGGAAAAAAGGTTTAAGAACCATTGAAGCAGATATTAGAGCCTTGATGGTAAATAGAAAGACTGACAGATTAGAAGAGTGCATAAAGAATTAGAGCCAGACAATATTTTCTCCAGAGTTTTAAAAGAGGGGGAATATCAAATATGCAAGCCTCTCTCTCTTTCAGGGAGTAGGCAGGTGCCTCAGGACTGGAGAATTGCTTACATTACTATAATTTTTTAAAGGGATTGGCAAAAGCTACCCTGTAAATTATACCAATTATTATTAGCTCTCTAGTGATCAAATTCTAGGAAATCTGACAAATGGAGCTTTGAAAAATCATTTATTGAAATATGATATTCATGAAAGCTAACATGGATTCACCAAATGGAAATCTTCCATTACTAATCTGTTTTCTTTTTTGTAGGACATCACCTGTTATCTGGACAAAAGACAGGATGTGGACTTGGGGTACTTAGGTTTGTCAAAAAGATTTTGATAAGTTGTCACACAAAAGATTAATTGTGAAATCACATCAGTAGGGTTGAGTAAGATTAGTTGGACTGTTGAGTGAATGGATGAGAGAAATTAAATTTTTGTTACTAACAGAGTTCTGTCAAACTAGAACACTGTTACTACAGGAACACCTCAGGAGTCACTGCTCATTCTTATTTACATTGATGATATGAATATGTCATCAGCAAACTTTACGACTTATGCTCCAGTTAATATAATTTTCTTACCTACATTAATGATATTACAGGGTCATAAGTAGTAAAATTTTGCTGATCACATTAACTCTTTCAGCATGGGCTCTGTCCCTGAGACCAACGTCGTAACCATTTTGTGCTTGTTATAGTTTTCATGCTATAACTTTTATTTGGTAACAAAATTTGGCAGATTATCATTAAATATTACAATGATTTCATATGCAAAATATACAATATACACAATAACACAAGAAAATGTTTTATCTCTTATAAAAAAAGAATACACACCCATCCCAAAACACAATTAAAAATAATTCAATGACAAGGAACCCACTTTGAAACTAATAATGGTTGGAGACAGCTTGAATGGGTAATGAAGAAAAACACCTGATGATGACAAAACCTTGTCGAAACGTTGTACATTTGCTGTTATGTTAAACTTATATTAGTTTTTCTTCATTACCCATGCAAGCCGTCTCCAACCACATTAAAAATAGTTTACTAACACAGAAGAACTTTACTTTTCTACATTTTATACTTAATCCTATATAGTCTGATGTTTTTTTTGTCCAAAACCTTAACCCTTTTACAATGGGGTGATACATTTCACATCACCTCAACTGGGGAAGGACATTTACGCAACAATACAGATGATAACTCTGAAATATCCTTACAAAATCTGATGATATTTTAGTTAAAGGTGATAATTGTCTTGTACACAAAAATGAAATTATTTTAATTACATCTTTCTAATAAAAATGTTATTAATCTATAGTAGTTATTTTCACTCAAACTATTCAGAGTTTGAGAGCAAGGTGATTTTCATTTCAAGTATAAAAATACTTTTCTTCATCCTATAGTTTTCATATTTCATTTGCATAATATCTAGAACTTCCTAAATAAATATCAAAAAAACCTTAAGGTAAATGTTTATATCTTATTTCTCATTCTCTCTACCATATCACTAACTCTAGCTATTATCATCAATGTGCAATGAAATGATTAACATTAGGAAATAGAAAAGAGTACATACTTTATAATGTTTTGTAAAATATCTTTAAAGATCTTCTTTTGGATATATTAATAATTTTAGGTCTTTTCCTTTTCACATAATTTTTAATTTTTCTTTTCCTTTACCATATATTATTCATCTCAACACACGACAATGGTGCCCTCTGGCAAACATGCACAACCCTACAGCAAAATTTTTCTGAACCACATAATATTGTAAGCCTTGAGAACTGATGCAAAATATGATGAATATTTAAAAAATGTTTAAACCTTTCAATTATGCATTTTAAAAGATAAATAATACATAATTAACTAAAATATAAAAGTAAGACCTATGTACAATTTAATCGTCTCTAACTATAACATACTTAGGCAAGAAACAGCCGTAAGTGCTATAATTGATCAAGCAGCTAACAATACTACAGGCAGTTACATGTACCAATGATCAAAACTGAGTGCCAATTTCAAAATAACCATTGTTAAATTATAGTGTAAAATGACCTCTTTCTAATGACTATATACAGGTGTATGTAACCTCTACATGTAGGCTATAAAGCTAAAACAAATGTAGTGAAGGTGGATGCGGCACCAGGCAGAGATTGACAAAATTTATTACTTGTTTCATCTGCATTCATCCAGAGAACTTTGAAGTGTATGTGTCAATAGATAAAGGAAACATTTTATTGTCTGGATGTACATCTACACAACTGACATTATATTAATGAAGATACATAGTGCTAAAGTAAATAATTTTCATAGCTCGTGGGTCACATGACAATACATCTGAAGTTTTTAGTGTTTTTAAAGGTTTCATTTGAAATAAAGGACTTAAATAACATAAACTTTGAATCATGACATACATTATAATGTTAATTTCATTCACATAAATTGATAGTAAGGGAGTTTAATTAAATTTTGAATGTAACACAATACTTGCACAGAAAAGTGTTTAAAGGGTTATCCATGTTGAAAGGGTTAAAAAACTATAAATATTGTGGTATACTACTAACAAAAGCAAATGTTTTTAAAAGAAACTTTAAATGTATAAATTAAAAAGGTGCTAACCACAAGCCCTTCTACAAATATTACTCTACTGTTTTTAGAAATTTGAAAAATACTCCTACAATTGATAGAATATTAAAAGTTTGAACAACAGATAGTATGCATCATAAACCTTTCATTTGTTCTCAGATTTCATTAATTCAACTCTCCAAAAACTAACTCAAAATATAGTGATAGAATTAATTGTATTATTTTTTAATTACAGATCAAATCTTTTAACATACCTCCTTCCCAGTTGGTAAATGTTCAGCTAACTTCACTTTTGCAAAATTTCCTTTGCCTATAGTTTTCAAAAGCCTGTATCTTCCAACATGTGGTTCTTCCAAGGATCTGCCACGTGAAATTGCACTGCGTGAGACTGAACTTGATTTCGCAGCCTAGTGGGTCAAGATATGAAAGTTATAATAAGTAGTCTGCAGATGTTAAAGAACTCAAATAAAACTTATGTTATTACTATATAATATAAAGACAATTAAAAACACTTATTTCAGAAGAATACACAGACCTCATATGGCCTAAAACAAGTTTTAACTTTTCTTAAACTGAACAATAACTTTATGTATATTAATATATGAAAATTTGTATTTTCATATTTACTTTCTTTCCTCCTTTCCAACCATTTTATTTAACAATATATTTTTTGTTTTATAAGGTGCTTTTTCTCAAAACTCTAGTAGTAAATCTCATACTATTTTCCTTCTCAAAATAAAAATTTGTAAACCAAATTTAAAGTAAATAAAATGTAAAAATTAAAAACTTATTGGTTGGATAAAAACACTGAAATGACAGAAAAAAACAAAAAAAACAAATAATATAGTTGTAACATGATATAACGTGAAATTTTGTTTAACCCTATCACCCCGGGTACTCTTTAATGCGCATGACACAAGGTTTTAGAGTCTTACATTCAAGTCTTTGTGTCCCTATAGCGCTGTGGATAGCGCGTTGGGTTTCTAATCCAAAGTTACCGGGTTCGTTCCCCGG